GGTTGTCTGGAAGTGATATACAATAGGAGTTGATAAATGTCATTATTTAAGCCAGTAGGAGGTGGGGGTTTCTGTTACTTGGAACTGAAAGAATCCTAACTAATGCAGGTATTGGTACTTTATGTTCTAGGTTCAGATAGCTACCTTAATGCTTCTGCAAAACAGTTGGCTTGGTCTGGCTGTTATCGTTCAATAGTCCTTTGCACATAGCAGGGAGGACTCCCATGCGCTAGCCAGGATTCCTTCCCCTCCTCCCCCTTAGGAACAGAACCCAGATGTTATTTAGGGTAGCAATGTGCCCAGTTAAAAGACTACATTTCCCACCCTCCCCTTTGCAGCTGGGTATGACTACAGGACTGAGTTCTGGCCAGTGCTATGCAAATGGAACTGAACCTGGGACCCCAGGAAGACTGCTTAAGGGCGAGGGCTCAGCCAGAAGTACACTCCTCCCTCTCTTCCTCTTCTTTCTGTCTCCGGTGGAGCTGGAGTATTCTTGGACCATGTGGTGACCTTAGGGATGGAAGTTCTGTGCAGCAGAACATGAATTAAGGTGGAAGGTGCCTGGGTCCTTGAGGAGTCCCTGGAGCTGCCATACCAACCCTGCACTGCCCACTCTCTGCCCACTTTTGTGCAACAAAGTACACCCTTGTGTTTAAGCCACTGCTACTTTGGGATTTCTGTCACATACAGCAAAAACGTCATCCTTACTCATACTGTATCAAATTGGAAATTCCTTGTTCTTTATCAAGAGTCTGATGTCTGCAAATATGTAAAAGTGTGGCTAGGATAATGTTCAGATACACAAAAGACCTAAGATTTAATATAATCATGGTTGACACCTGGGTTTTCCAAAGAACCTTAGAGTTGTGAGGAGAGTTAAAAACAGATGACGTGTGTGATGCGCTTAACTCAGAATCCAGAGCAGCAAACGCACCCTAGTAGCGATGACTTCTAGACTGTCGCTGTCAGCCAGTCCAACCCTCTGCTGTGATGTGTGAGAAAATGGAGGTGCAGAGAGGGGAAGCACCCTGCCCAAAGTCACCATCACTTTGTCCCGGGGCAAGACCAGAACTCAGCTTTCTTCACCTTTGCCTCACCGGTCTTTCCCCCATCCTGAGCCCTGCGAGTCTGAAGGTCCTGGATTTCCCACCGTCCTGGCACCTGTCACAGTTTAGCAGGTTACCATGGTATCGCTCCCCAGCTCCCCGGGGAGCAGGGACCACCGTCTGTTTTGCAAGGTGATGAGCCAAAGCCCAAGGACGTGTTCAGGGGGCCCTGGATGGCTGCTCTCCCGTCAGAGGACCCCGCAAGCAGTGACCCCTCTCCGGGGCTGCAAGCTCGGTGGAACGATCTCTCAGTTCACGTCCAAGTTCAGGGTTCCAAGACTTGTTCAGGACCAGAATGAAAGGGAAGGACTGGGGAGCCCTGTGCTCCCCTACGTAGTCATGCACGATGGAAATGAGTAAAAAGTCAACAGTCTACGCCCCCAAGCTTGACCCAGAACCTAGAACATGAGCAGGGTGGGTTTCTGGCTTCCCTCCTTCTTTCTCCAGAGTCCTAGTCTGCCCTCCTTTCAATTTCCCTGTCTGTTGGAGGGAAGCTGAGAACTGTCCGTGTGGCTGACACCGCCATAGAAGAGGGTTGGGGGTGTCTGATCTGGCTGGAAGACCAAAAGAGGAGACTGATTGGAAGTCTCCGGAAGCTGTTCTGGTGCCACCTCCCTGCCAGGGCAGTGTCTGTTATCGGCAGAACCTTATCAACATTTTCTTAGTGCTGTTATTAAGGCAGCCAGCTTGCCCCAAGCTGATGAATTTTAAAAGAAGCATAAAATAATTTTTTTTAAAAAACCTTGAAGCTGAGAGAGTAATGAATGTTTAAAAGCCTGGCTTATTTCAAGCTTCTCTCTGCAGTAGATTAACGTAACCCATGTAATGATTACGGATTTGAAAAAAGTTTATTAGTAGGTTCCAAGAACCATGTTAAGACATTGCAGCATCTCTGACCATTTAATTCTTACGAGAACCCTGTGAGGCTGCCCCAGCCTCCAGCCACTCCCAGGAGAGCCAGACTCCAGCATGGGCCTGTGAGGCCACGCAGCTCGAGCCACGGTCCCACGCTAGGCCCAGCCGTGTCCTGGTCCTCCACCATCGGCCCAGCCCTGCCAACTCGGCCAGGACGGGTGGCCCACTTAGCCTGCCCAAAGGACAATCTCTTGTGCCCGCCTGCCAGATCTCAAACCTCCCAGCCTGGCCAACAAGGTCAAGAGCTCTTCGGGAAGCAGGGGAAGGGGCACGGCAGGGTAGCCGCTCCATTCTGGTTCTGCTCGGCTCAGAAGAGCAGCCCCTAGACACAGTGAAATCTGGCCCTCGTGGCCCCACAGGCGGAACAAGAGACCTCAGAGAAGAAGCTGCAGGGAGGCAGGTTTGTGCTCCATAGAGGGGTGACTGCTGCCCAACCAGGCAGGAATGAGTTTCCTGTCACCAGAGATATGCAAGCAGAGGCCAAGCTGCCACCTTCCAAGAATGCAGTATGAGAAATCCCTGCCGTGGGTGATACTGGCGTTCAGTGGCATCAGAGCAGCCCTTGTTCCCAGAGAACTTCCCGCAGGCAGCATGGAGTTGTGTTCGGAGCCCTGCTCGGCCAGGTCCTGCCCAGGGCTCCGGGGCTCCACTCGGGCCTCACAACAGCTCTGCAAGGGGGATCATTGGCCCCATCTTACAGATACTCAGAGAAGGCAAGTGGCTTGTCCAAGGTCACACAGCTGGCCTATGTCCAGCTGTCCCCCCCCCTGTGATTTACCACTTTGTATCTCACTTGAAGCTAACTCCATCTGTGGAAAGCAAGGTGGTGGGGGCCTCTCATTAATAACAAAACCGCCTCCGTTTATTGAAAGCATGCTGCACGCCGGGCACTCTCTGCGCATTCTATGTTACCTGCTTAATCCATCCAAATCACCCTTCCCACTCGACCTGTCAAGGACTGACCAGCCTCCAAAGCTGAAGTGGCTGCCTGAGGCCCCAGCGTGTCAGCCAGCGGCAGAGTCAGCCTGGCTGTGCTTCCTGTCTTTGCCACAGTCCCTACTCACGCAGGGGCAACCCAGCGGCAAAGTGTGTAGGACAGGTGGAAGACAGTGAGAAAGGAGGGAGAGGTGCTGGTCTGGGGCAGCCTGTGAAAGAGCTGAACTCACAGGCTGGTGGAGGCTGAGGAGGGCCCTTCCAGCCACGGGCCCTGGCTGCAGAGTAGGCGAGGCCGACCCAGGCTCAGGTGCCTTGTATGGCTGGCTGTGTGGGCTTAGTCAAGGCAATATCCCTCTCTGAGCTTGCGATAGGCCATGGTTTAAAAGCAGAGCTCTAAGCCCAGTAAGGATGAGAGAATAATTTAGGAAACTGAGGCATGAGTGGAGTTAGAAAAAAAAAACAACTATGATTCCATAAGCCCAGGTGTACTCAGTTTTCCCAGCTGGGAGTGCTAATTTACCCTCCCTGCCCCGGAGGAACTTGAGGATGGAGACTCTCACCACCTGCAATGCCGTAGGTCCTAACTATTCTGAGAAGGAGCCAGGGTGCCCCCTGTACTCTCTGACCCCACATGTATATTTGCCTTCTTCTAACCAGGACTTGTAAGGGGCTCAGTTTCCAACCAGTTTCCAGGGAGTTGATCCTCGAGGCCCCTTTCATCCATTTTTTTATGCATTCAACAAACAGTTGTTGGGCACCAGCAGTGTAAGGATTCCCAAGCTGGGCACTAGTCCAAAATCCTTGCTGCACTTGCTACACACGGCGACTGCCCCCATGAGCACAGAGGGAAAGCCATCGGCCGTAGTCGCACTGCTGGGAAGGGCAGGGTCTGCTCTGAAGCCCATGCCCTTGCTGGGCGCAGGCCAGTCCCAGCCCTTTGTGTCTGAGAGGGACCCACAGCCCAGGGCCTACCGCCCAAGCCATGTGCATGTGTGTCTGAAGGTGCTGGATTTCCCACCGTCCTGGCACCTGTCACAGTTTAGCAGGTTACCATGGTATCGCTCCCCAGCACCCCGGGCAGCAGGGACCACCATCTGTTTACACGGCTGTCAGAGGAATTGATGTCATGCGAAATTGTCAGCTCAGCGGGGTGGGAGGAGGAAGAGTGGGCGGCTCTGAAAGCATCCAAGCCATCAAAACTCATTTCGATCAAAGCCCTGAGCGAGTCTGCGCTCCCCTAGGGGGAGCAGAGAAGAAGGGGGAGCCGAGAAAACACATTTCCTGAGAGGAAGAAGCAGGTAGCAGTAGTTAATGGTCAGTGTTATTCTTTCCATTTTTACCATCCTGCGCAAGGCACATGCTCACGTCGGCTTTGCACAGCCCCGGGAGGTGAGCATTGCCGTCAGCTCCATTGCACAGATGTCAGAAATATAAAACTGACACTCAGAGACAAAAGAAGGGTCTGCTCAAGGTCATAGGAAAGCCGGAAGTCAGGGCCCGTAGCAAAAGCTCCTTGATCCTCTGGCTGAGGGGCTAGGGGGTCATTTCTTGGCCGAGATGGGAGGCAGGATGCCCAGGTAAGCACGGGACAGTTGCTGTTGGCCACACCTGCAGAAAGGAGGAAGGCCAGGACAGGAGGAAGACGAGCCTGTGAGCCCAGAGCCCCAGGTTCTAATAGGGGCCGGAGCAGCTGCGGTTGCCCGGGGCACAAATCTCTAAATATCCTGGAAATGTCAGCGGAGGGAGACCAGAGATCTGCGACTTTCCCGCTCAGCATGCGCCCCTCTGCTTTGGTAACTGCCGAGTCCCCTCGGGACACCCTAGACTCCACCGGTCCCGCTCGGCTAGCGGTTCGGAGAGCGCCGCCGAGCCACCAGGAGACGGACGCAGACCTAAGCCAATCCCCAGATGACCCGGATCTAATCCGACCACCATAGCTCCACCCCTAGCCCTGTGATTGGCTCAGGCCCGGGCACATGACCCAAGACGAGCCAATGGGAGTCAGGAGAGAGAATCTCTCCCTTCCCCGGAAGCAGGCAGCCATCTTGCCGCCGCGAAGATGGCGCCTCCCTACGAAGGGAAAGCGAGACTAGGAATGGTGGGGACAGCAGACTTTCTCCCCTGGACCCAGCCCATCCTGAGGCTTCAGAATCTACTGAATTTACGTCAGCCAACGCAGTTCCCTTTTTGCTGAGGTAACGGAGGTGGGTTTTCCGTCCGTTGTGCTTGAACTAGTCCTGGTTTGTTTGTCCTCGTTTATTTCGGGGAGGGAACCCCGTGGGCTTGGGAGCAATCGCCTGGGCTAAGGGGAGACCCGCAGGGCGAGTTGAGTAACAGCAGACGGCTGCTAAACTGCCTGCAAAGGAGAAGGGCTTTGCTGGGTGGACGATGCAAGTTGAGACCGGAACTCACTGGAGTAGGGGACAGGTGAGTCGGCCACCAGAACACCTTTCTCCACTCTTCCCGGGCGTCTCCCGGCCTCACCTCCATAGAAATGTCGACCAAGTATTTAGAAAATAGTGATTGGAAGGGACCCAGAGCTCTAGCCTGCTTTAGTGACCCACTGGTCTCCAGCTAGTCCAAGTACCATAAAATCTTGTGACCTTGGGCAAATCCTGTTCCCTCTCTGGCCCTCAGTTTCCTCATCTGTAAAGGAGGGACTGTTGTTTGCATTTTGCTGGTAAGGAAAGGGAAGCAGTGAGGGGACAGGACTTGGCATGCGCTGCAGCAGGGTCGGAAAGCACTTAGACTCGCCCATCCCTCGCCTGGGGGTCGCAGTCTTGCATTTTCACGCTGGCAAGGGTTCCAGGTGGGAGGATCTTGTTCCTTTAAAAATATATCTGTCCTTGCCTCTTATAGATACAGACTGGAATATTTATGGAGGAGATGGTATGATGTCTGGGATTTTCTTCAAAATAAGTTGGAAGGAGGAGGGAAGGTAGGGGTATAAATTAAGCAAAATTAGCCAGGAGCTGTAGAAACTGAGGTGATGGGCACATGAGAGTTTATTATCCTATTTCTCTACTTATGTATAAGTTTGAAATTTCCATAATGCAGTGTTAAAAAAAAAATAAAAATCAAAGCTAGCCTACTATCAGTGTGGGCTGCTCTGACATATTTCAACATGGTACACCCAGAACCTGGGGCAGCCTCAGCCAGAGGGATATGGGAGAATTGTACCAGAATAATTGATGGAGATTTTGCTTCCTGTGTTTTCTTTCTTCCTCTGCCTCAAACAAGTTGGCCGATTCTTGCTCCCTGACTTCTAGGGAAGAAGAGGCAGAAAAGAAAGCAAACACTGCTTGAGACTTCATTGAAAACAAGGCGAGGCTCAGTGGCTCACACCTGTAATCCTAGCACTCTGGGAGGCCGAGGCCGGAGGATTGCTCGAGGTCAGGAGTTCGAAACCAGCCTGAGCAAGAGCGAGACCCCGTCTCTAGTATATATAAAAAGAAATTAATTGGCCAACTAATATATATAGAAAAAATTAGCCGGGCATGGTGGTGCATGCCTGTAGTCCCAGGTACTCAGGAGGCTGAGGCAGGAGGATTGCTTGAGCCCAGGAGTTTGAGGTTGCTTTGAGCTAGGCTGATGCCACGGCACTTGCTCTAGCCTGGGCAACAGAGTGAGACTCTGTCTCAAAAAAAAAAAGAAAAGAAAAGAAAACAGTAGAATTTTATTGAGGTTGGCAAGAGAGGAGTGGAAGAAGTTTCCCCAAGGTTGGAAAGCTCCTCAGTTCCAAGAGCAGTAGGGAAACCACAGGACCGCCAGTTCCACGGTATAAGAGGGCTGTGGGAGCCAGGCATGGGAACTTCTCCAGGGGGACCAGTGGGCACCAATGCCCAGTGACAGAGGGGACCTCTCGGGGGCTTTAGCAAGGTGTAAGAATGCATGACCTTTGCCTTAAGCCATGGGGTGGGCTGCCCCCGAAATGACTGACACTGACCTTCTGGTCTGTCAGGTGGGATAGGGGTTTCGGTTTTAGGTTGATTTAAAGAAAATATAGAAATATATAATGACATGAGAGTGAGGACAAAACAAAGCAGGAGGCTCTGGGGTCCCAAGAGCAGGGTATTGACCCTGGTTCTGCTGCTTATGAGCTGACACCCTGGACAAGTCTCTTCACCTCCCTGCAACTCAGCTTCCTCACCTGTAAAACAAGGACAACGAGATCTATGTTAGGGGGTGTTGGAAGGATGAAAATGAGGGGATGCCCTGCACCCGGCATGGTCCAAGGCATCCTTCACTTCCGCCTCCTCGTCTTTCCCCGTGCTGAACACCCCGACACCCTGCATTTAGGAAGAAGCCATTTAAATGGAACTTAATTAATATGCAGGCAGCAGTGGCTAATTAAGAATTTATTTTTGCTCCTTGATTAAATGACAGTTTAAGATCTGCTTTCTCATTTCCTTGGTTGGATACACAGAGTCCCCTGGAGTCTTCCACGCAGAGCCAGGAGGCCCCAGTTAGATTCACGAGCAGGAGTAAGTCGTCTCCAGCACTGAGGGCCCAATTCCGTATCGTCTTGCTGCCACCCTGCAGGGAGGCTGGAACCCGCACAGGCGACTCTTATTCCTCCACGCTTACTGCCCTCCTGGTCTCCTCCAACTCAGGCAGTGGAGCACTACCCCCACCCAAATCACTCCTCATTACCTCCACTCCTCCTGCCTCCCCCGCCATCCTCAGTAAGGCTGCTGGTCCACCCCACCCCCGCCATCTGCCTGCTCCTCGCCATCTCCAGGCCCCCTCCCAGTTCAAGCCGCCCATCTCCTCTAGAGCTTCTCGTTGGTCTCTCTGCTTCCTCTTGCCCCCCCTCCTTCTCTCTCTCCTTGACAGCCTGAGTTTTTCCAAATATAAAGTGAAAAATTGATATTTAAAATATTAATTGAAACCCTCCAGTGGCTTTGTATTGGGCTTAGAATAGAAATCCGCTCCTTCTGGTATAGCCCCTGCCTGTACTCCCATCTCACCTCATCCATCACTGTCCCACCTTTGCTCAGCCCTCAGGCCACCTTTCTGTCTCTTGAACACACACGCCCGGCTTTTTCCTACTTCCAAGGTCTCTGTATCTTCTCACAGGTGCCTCCTCGTTCCTCAGGGGTTAGCTTAAATGTCACCTCTTTAGAGAAGCTCTCCCTGACCACCACATCTAGAGGAGTCTCCTCTCCACCGTATCTCTTTGTTACAAAAATGAGCCAAAGAAACCCCGCCCCAGTCTGTACATTAGCCCCTAGGTGATTGTGTTCAGCAGGCTGAGACCAGTCAGCTCGAAAGCCTGCTGGCACCAAACTCAAATTTTCACACATGTACTTGTTCTAAAAATAGCCCCAAAACAGACTTTTTTAGTCACTTGGGGCCTGTCAGCTTTGCATACTCCACAAAACTACACCCCACATCTGCCGACCACTGGTAGAATAGAGCCTCGTGGATATAAGACCGCAGGCTGTTACCACCTTGCGGAGCTATCTGACCCTGCCGTGATGCTGAGTGACATCACACAGACATACAAGCCCTGACTCCCGCACCCCTCCTCTGGGAGTTCCCTTGCCCTCCACCCTTCTGGAGGGTGGGCCCCTGGCCAGGAGCCTCTGGACAGTCTCATGCTGTGAAGGGTTTGCTCTCTCATGCAACCCTGTCCAAGCACCACCCGATAAAGATGGTTGTGTGTTACTGCCTCTCATGGTGGCATCTCTTTTCCTTAATTAGCCCCCAAGTCCTTCAGATCCCCTATGCTCTTCATCCACTACCCTGTTTTATTTCTTGACAGCACTTACCACTCTCTGAAATGACCTGGTTAAGTTGCTTGCTTGCTTTTCGTCTCTCTCCCCCATTAGAATATAAAGTCCCTATAATCAGTCAATAAGTCTATGAAAAAGATATTTGCCCACACTAACAATCAAAGAAATCTTGAAGTAAAACAAGGGATGTCACTTTTCATCCAAGGTGATGAATTATTAAAAGTCTGACTGTCAAGTATTGCAAGTATACAGGAGGAAGAGGAGTGCCCTTGCACCTGCCGGTGGGAGTGTAAGCTGGCACACACCTCGGAGGGCAATTCAAATAATTAATTCAATTAATTCAATTAAAATACATGTAGCCTACAGCCAAGCAATGCTATGCCTCAGTATCTACCCTAGAATGACACCCCCACATGTGCACAAGGAGGAAGGTCGAAAAATAAGTAAATAAAACAGGACTTGCACTACCAGGAAGGTAGAGCAGCTGTATATTCCCTGTCCTTTCTGTGAGCACAGCTAAAAACCGTGGGCATTTTGTATAAAACAAACATCGGAAGACTCTGAAAGGTGGAGAAAAGAAGGCGGCCTGGGTAGGGACCTCAGGACCCAGGTAACAACACAGTGCTGAGTTCTCTGCGTTTTCTTTTTGCCTCAAATATCACAATCTTAGACCCCGAAGAAGCCAGCAACCAAGAAATGCCAATGGACACAGACAAAATAAAAAGGTCTAACAAAATGCTGTTCCCTCCAGCCAAAGGATCAGGAAATGTACAACCTAGAAAGGCAGAAACTATTAGACAATGTTGCTCTACTCCAGAAAATCTATAGTCCCACTCTCACCCACACTAGCAAACACCAAGTGGGAACCGAGATCTGCATCCTTACCAGGCTATGCCAAAGCGCCCCACCCCCCAGTGGAGTCAAAGAAGGCCAAGTAGGGAAGAGGAATAAGCACCCCCCATGGTGTCAGTGGAGGCCATGGTGGGGGTTGGAACTCCCACCCCTACCCAGCAGTAATGAAAAGTCCTCCCTCACCTGTGGTGTCAGGGAGGCCAGGTGGGAAACCTGTGACTTCTAACCCCCCACCCCCGGCAATAACACAGCAGCACCCACCTTCCCTTGCCAGAGCAGTTTCAAGAAGAAGCCTATTAAAATAGAAGGTTTAAATAAGATGCAGAGTCTCATAACAGAATACCTAAAATGTCCAGTTTTCACTCAGATCTCTTATTATACCAAAAACCAGGAAGATCTGCAACTGAATGAGACAAGACAGTCCACAGATGTCAACATTAACACGACACAGATGTTAGAATATCTGATGAGAATTTTAAAGCAGCCATCCTAAAAATGCTTCAACAAGCACTCATGATGATGCTTGAAGAAAATGAAAAAAATAGAAAGTTGAGCAAAGAAATAGCCCCAGCAAAGAGATAAGAAAATATAAAGGAGAATCTAATAGAAGTTTT